TCTGAAGCCCATTCTCTCACGGTTTTGTTTTCTGGCCCAAGAACCTTTGCTTAAGCCCAAAATGCGTATTGACATTTGAGGGCTTCCTGGTATTTAACCAGCCCAGGCCCTTCCTTCCTAAGCAATGTGGGGTGTCCTAATCTCCCTCCCTCATGGTCCAACATCCTTGTTGCGATCTTTTTTGGGCTAGGCGAGACTTCTTGACTATCCGCATACTATTGGTTGGGATTGGCTTTGATACCAATTATAACACCTCGGCTCATAGTCGGCCTAACACTTTCAAGATATTATTCGCTTTGGTAGCTTGGTGATAGGCTGTTCGTAAGTGTATGAAAATGCGCAAGTAATAAAGCTCGAGTAAACGAGTGTCGAATCCCAAGAGAACTATCTACCAAGTACCAAAGTAGTATATTTTATTGATATTTGATGAAACAAAATTTTAAGAATGAATTTAATGAAAAAGAAAACAAACTAAAAACAAAACAAAAGCAGAATTTTATTAATACTTTGGCAAAAAGATCAATATGACTAAACCTAGGGCACAGATTTCACACCAATTTAATCCTATGCATTGACAATTATTGCTAACCTAATTAAGCTTATTCTAAAGGCCAAACTCCATAATATTCCACTAACTTTCTCTCGAACAATTAGCAAATTAACCTTGAAGCAACAACCCAAAATATCTCTAAGTTGAATTTAGAAGCTAAGAGATCATTAAGTTCTATGGAATTTACCAGAGCCTTATAGATCGCGGTAACCTATCTCTAGCGTTCGCTCAATCTATGGTTTTATTACCTTAGACTAATCAGGTTTCATCTATCGATCTCAACCCAACCCATGATATCATTCAACTCTTGGATCCATAAGAATTGAAAGCATTACACATAATAATAAAACTTAGAATTAATGCTTAATTAAAAATCAACAACAATAACGTCAACACATATTCATAAATTGGGCTACATCTTTAGCCCTAGAAAAGAGATTTAGTTCATAATTGTAATAATAAAAACAACCATTGTATTCAATAACATGAGTTCAAGATAGAAAAATAGAAAAACTTCTCTAATTGGCGAACGAGAACTACAAGAATTCCGATCTCCAAAATAGTAGCCGTCCTTTCTCCTTCTCTAATCTCCCTTAAAAACTAATTAAAGACCCTTATTTATAGTGCTAGGGTTTGGAGGTTAATTAGGAAATAATTAAATGCCTTAAACCATTCAGATTCGGACTCGGAGAATACTATAACCCAAACAAGCTCGTGATCCATCGCTGTGGTGATCAGAAATTATCGCTACAGTGATCATTCTTTCTGTCCCACAAGTCTTTAATATTCAGAATTTGGAAAAGTTATCAACATAAACTTTATATCTCTCTTAATAAGCTTTCCAACGCCATAAGAATCATCAAATTCTAATTTCTACAGCTCAAGTTATGATCGAAACATCAAAGCATGCTCATCTTAAAGGATTTCAAGATGTTACGTTGTATCTTTGACGCGTCACAACTTTCTCGTTTCAACTCCGATTCTTGCACTGTTTGTTCCTACTCATCACGAATTCCATTGACATCATTCCTTTTCCTTCAAATATCAGTTTTAACCTGAAAATACTCAAAATACACCCGTGATCCCCGTAAAAGGTATTTATGAAATAATTAACTCAAATTTCATAAATTAAACACATTTTTCCACAAATAATCCAATTGAATCACTAACAAAATATATACTTTCAAGCTCTTATAACTTGGGTGGCCCGAATCCAAAGCCCAACCCTTCACCGTTTTGTTTTCACGCCCAAGAACCCTTAATTAAGCCCAAAACACGTCTGGACATTTGGGGATTCCCAGGCATTTAACCAGCTCATGCTCTTCCTTCCCAAGCAATATGGGATGTCTCACTCTTGAGATCAGGAAGCTGAATTTTGCCTCACTGATATTGTTGCTGATTTGCCCTCTTGGCGTTGGTAAAGGCTAGGTCCAACTTTTACAATGTTTAAATTATGTAGTTAGTTGACATGTTTTTCATTGTTTGGTGCTTATTGTTTATGTAGGTTCAAGGCAGTTACATTTGATTTGAAAATTAAAGCTTTTGATTTATAATATGAGATATTGAGGGTTGACCCTAATGAATTTAGTTATATATGCTTCATTAAAAATGTTAAGACTTGTATAGTTAATGGAATATTTTCCTAATTGCGAGATTTAAGGTTGAGGTTGAGTTACCTTTATCAAGGGCTAGGTATTTAGTAAATGATGACAAAGATACAAACTTTATCTTTCAAGAGTATAGGGTCAAGGGGCTAAAAACCATAAAATTTTATGCAGAAGCCATTCCTTTAAATTGTTGATGTTACAAGGTTAATGGAAAGGAATGAGCCCATTGGGTGGTGAAAATGCGGATTTATTTTGTGATTTGGGGGTAAAATTGTAAGGAATTCAATGTTTAATGCATTATTTAGGATGAGTTTCCTTACTTGTTTTGTTATTTTCCAGAATCACAGGTTTTGTTATGTTTTCAAGTAATTAGGTGCAAAAAGATGGATTATTCATGCTTGTGTTGGTGTTCAAACATCTTGGACCCATCAAGTGCGGATAAATCAAGGCGAGTTGAAAAAGAGAAAAAATTTGCAACTGAGTCGCAACACACTTTTCTAAGCCACGACGTGAAGACGACGCAACTCATATTGCACCCCAGCGAAGAATCATCAAGCCGTGGCATAAAGTAAACGAAATCCAAATTGCATCGCAGCTCAATTAATCCACACCACGGTGTGATAGGGTTTTTGTCGAAGGAAAAATCGCCTGGAGCGTGCTGTAGTGCAATTCAAATGCACCACGGTGCAAATCGCTATATTTGGAAAAACTCCGCATTTTCAACCCTAATTTTGGTGACCAATATTTATAATTTTGCCTAAAAACTACATAAAGGCAACTTTAGTTCGATTTTCATTATGATTAGGTTATATAAAACACTTTTGCAACTTTTGAGGCTCGGGAGAGAGTGATTGATTGTATAAAGCTAAACCTTGATCATCTTGAGTGGATCTTGCATCCAAATGTGTAAGGGTGAGATCAAGGTTTGTTTTCTTGTATTTATGAGTAGCTATACTCTTTCCTAGTGTATCCAATGTAATCTAATTAAACTACTTTATTTTTATTGTCTAATCGAATGTTTAATTGATCCAATGGTATCTTAGTTTCTTTCATTATGTTTATTGAGTTGATTAATCATTATTATTGCGTGATTGCCTTTGATTTATGATTGAATGGTTGTATGAGTCAAGGTTAGGCTATACGCCAGTAGCTAATCTTGAATATCTCTTGATCTTTGATCGTTGTTGATGTCTGATCCTGTTAATAGTTAATTGATTGACTATATGAGTTGGGGTTAGGCTATACGCCACTAGCTAATCTCATATTGCTCTGATGCATGATTGATTTATGTCTGTGTGATGCCCTCGACAGATGTGAGTTGGTTTGTGTTCATTTTGGTACTTTTATGCATAATGGATTTTTTTTGTTTTAATTAGGCTACATGCCACTAGCTAGTTTGGATGATGAAAACACTAGATTGATCTGGTTGGCCATGGCACGACCTTACCTTGGTAAGTATCAACCCTAAGATTTGGATTGAGAAACATCGATTAGATTAATAACATAAAATAGGATAATTATGGTGAAATTGGACACATTAGACCATTTCTCATTGTTTGATCATTTGTTTAGATCTCATTTTTATATAGTTGTTATTTTATTATTTTTGTTATTCTTACTTGAATTTTAGTTAATGTGGATTTTATTAAATTGTTGGGTAATTTTATTATCTCACTTGATTTCATTATTTTAGTTGTTTTTGCACAGTATTAGATTAATTGATAGGTTGATTCTTTGTGGGGTGGACCTTTACTTGTGCACTTTACTGCAATAGTGACCCATGCACTTGCGAAAGAATTAAAATTGTTTTTAACCGAACAAGTTTTTGGCGTCGTTGCCGGGGAGTTGGAGTTATTTGATTTCATTAATATTTGTGTTTTTATTTTGTAGTTAGATTTTATTTTAGTTGTTTTTATTATTTTCTAGTTGTTCTGTGTATTTTTGTGTTATAATTTTTCTTTGTTTTGAGTTTTTTTTTTTTTTTTTTTTTTGAATGCAAGATCGCCCGATCATTGGGTGAAGAAGTGCTTCCTTGTTTTGACAGGGTGAATTTGATTGGTAGAAAGAGAAGAGAACCTAAAAATTTGGAAGAATCAAGTGCATTAACTTTAGAATCCGAAGAAGAGATGGCGAATCCACCTTACCTGATAAAGGAGTATGCGCGTCCTATCATTGGAACGTCGCCCTCTTGTATTGTTTTGAGTGCTGCAGTGAGGAATTATGAGTTGAAGAGTATTCATTTTCACTTCCTTCATTCCATGGGATGGCCGTTGAAGATCCATTGACATTTATTAGAGATTTTTACTCAATCGTGCAAACTTTTCCTTTGCAAGGTCTGACTAAAGATCAATTGAGGATGAGATGTTTTTCATATACATTGAAGGACGTAGCAAAGAGTTGATTCATGTCATTGGCACCAGCTCCAGTTACCACTTGGGATGCGGTCTACAACAAGTTCATAGGTAAATTTATTCTCATGCAAAGACTGCAGAACTAAGAGGTAAAATTGCTACTTTCTCTCAACTTGATGGTGAGCCGTTCCATGAGGCTTGGGAAAGATTTAAATTGATTTTAGTTTCAATGTGCACATCATAGATACCCTTTAGAATTGTTGAATTAGTTTTTCTATGATGGACTGACACAGGCTTGCCAAGCCATAGTTAATAATGCTGTAGGTGGTGCCATGGGAGAAAAGACTGCACAGGAGACATACGTGTTGTATGAGACGCTTGCGCCAACTCACAACATAAAAGTGTTGGAAGGAAAGCAAAGGGAATTTATGAAGTGAGTCTAACACTGAGTTGGCGATGCAAGTGTTCGGATTGACAAAGCAAGTCAAGACCATGTGCAACATGATGATGGGGCAGGGACATAGTAGTTCTAATGACGTATGTGCTATTTGTGGTAATGTTGGCCATACTACTAATGTTTGTCCTTCAGGTGAGAGTTTTCCAGAAGTTGTGGAGCAAGCGAACATGATGAAACCTTACAACCAAAGACCCTACAATCCGTATTTGAACACATATAATCTTGGGTGGAGGAACCATCCAAACTTTTCATAGAGAAACAACCAGTTGTAAGGAAGTTCTGAACACATCATGCAACCAAAGAATCCATCATTGGAGGAGACATTGAACAGTTTCATTCAAGCTTCTCAAAAGAACAATCAAAACTTCAAATAGAGATTCCAACAACAAGATGCATCCATAAGGAAGATGGAGGTCCAGATAGGCCAAATCACAGAGTCATTGCAAGGCCATGTCCCTAGGAAGTTACTAAGCCAATTCGAGCAAGAAAAATCGGTCACAGTTTTGAAGAGTGGTAAGGTAATTAACAAGGATATCAATTCTGAAAATAAATAGCCCTTGTCTGATTTTGTAGGTAAAAAGAAAAAGGGGCAGCAATCAAGTGCGCCCATGCAGAATGAGGAGATTGAAGATCCATATGTGCCACCGAAGCCTTATGTTTCACCTGTGCCTTTTCTGGGTCACTTGATTAAAAGCAAATGGGATAAGTCATTTTCTGATATATATGACATTTTTTCTAAGGTTAACGTGAACTTACCCTTGCTTGATATGATTAGGAACATGCCAGCTTACCTGAAATTCTTCAAGGAGTTGAACACCTGCAAGTGTAAGTATGAGCCGCACAAGAAAGTGATGATTTCAGAGACTGTGAGTACGGTGCTCCAATGCAAGTTACCACCCAAGCTAAAAGATCCGAGGAGCTTTGTTATCAACATCACTGTTGGTAACAAGAAAGAAGAAATAGTGATGTTGGACTTGGTTGCAAGTATCAACCTCACGCCATATTCCATCTATTAGCAGTTGGGGCTGGGAGAACTAAAACCTTGAACAATGACCTTGCAATTGACAGACTGATCTGTGAAATATCCAAGAGGTATCGTTGAAGATATTTTAGTTCAAGTTGACAAACTAATTGTTTTTGTTGATTTTGTGGTGTTAGATATGGAGTGGACTTTAGGCACATCAGTGAGTTGCCTATTTTGCTAGGATGTCCCTTCATGGCCACAACAAAGACCATCATCGATGTGCAAAATGGAAAGCTAAAAATGACAGTTCTTGATCAAACCGTTGAATTTTCAATTTTCAATTCTATGTCTTTACCTCTAGATACTAATGATTGTTTTGCAGTTGATTCTTTGGATCCTATCATTGTGTCTAGTTTTCTATAGGGGGAGACTAAAGATAAACAGGAGTTGGCTTTGATAGCAGGGGATGGTGAGTTGAGTGATAATAAGGCTAGGGAGTATGTGGCAGAGTTGGATAGTGAGATTAGGGACATGTCTGATGAGGAATTGAGGATGGCGATTAAACATGTCAATGTCAAGTTAGTTTCTTCGATTAAATCCCCACTTAAGCTTAATTTAAAACCTTTACCACCTCCCCTTAAGTATGCTTACTTAGGAAAAGATCAAACCCTCCTTGTGATTATAGCTTTAGACCTAACCATATCGGAGAAGGAGAAATTGCTTAGGGCGTTGAGTGGTCATCAGGCAGCCATAGGTTGGACAATAGCAGACATCAAGGGAATTAGCCCCACTATGTGCATGCATAAAGTGTTGTTGGAGGAAGATTCCAAACCAACTAGTGAAGTTCAAAGGAGGTTGAATTCGCATTTGCAAGAGGTGGTGGGAGTTAAGGTGTTGAAACTACTTGATGTTGGGATCATTTATCTTATTTTAGACAGCAAGTGGGTGAGTCCAGTTCATGTGGTACTAGAGAAGTTGGGCATTACTATGGTAAGAAATTCTGATGATGGTTTAGTGCTGACTAGCATGATAATAGGATGGCGATTTTGCATTGATTACAGGAAGTTGAATGCTACAACTAAAAAGGATCATTTTCCTCTTCCTTTTATTGATCAAATGTTAGAAAAATTGGCTGGTTATTCTTATTATTGTTTCCTTGATGGTTTTTTAGGTTATAATAAGATTCTTATCGCTCTAGAGGATCAAGAGAAGACGACATTCACATTTCTATTTGGAACCTTTGCATATAGGAGGATGCCCTTCAGATTGTGCAAATGCTCCATCCACGTTTCAAAGATGTATGATGTCCATTTTTTCTGATATAACTGAAAAATTTATTGAGGTGTTTATAGATGATTTTTTTGTTTTTGGGTCGTCATTTGACAAATGCCTTGATAATTTGACTTTGGTTTTGAAAAGATGTGTTGAAACGAATTTGACATTGAGTTGGGAAAAGAGTCATTCATGGTGAAGCAAGGAACTATTTTAGGGCATGTGGTATCTAGTAGGGGTATTGAAGTAGACAAAGCTAAGGTTGATTTGATTGCTAAATTACCACCACCCATATCTGTGAAGGGTGTACGAAGTTTTCTTGGTCATGTAGGTTTCTATAGGCGGTTCATAAAGGATTTTTCTAAGATCAGTAGACCTTTGTGTAATCTCTTGGCTAAAGAAACAACTTTTGATTTCAATGATGAATGTTTGATTACTTTTAATATTATGAAAGATAAACTCACATTTGCACCTATTCTTATGTCACCTGATTGGTCACTTCCATTTGAGTTGATGTGTGATGCTTTTGATTACGCATTAGGGGCAGTTTTGGGACATAGAGTAGGAAAATTGCATCATGTTATTCATTATGCTAGTCGTACTTTGAATGGTGCACATATTAACTACTCGACCATTGAAAAAGAATTCATGGCTATTGTGTTTGCTTTAGAAAAATTCTGCTCTTATTTGATTGGTTCTAAAGTGATTGTGTTTTTAGATTATGCTGCATTGAGATATCTGTTGAGTAAAAAGGATGCTAAGTCTAGGTTAATCAGATGGATTTTATTATTGCAAGAGTTTGATTTGACTATCAAGGATAAGAAGGAAAGTGAGAATGTAGTGGCTGACCACTTGTCTAGACTTGTTGAGACAAGAAGCCATGAAGTGCATAATCAAGATGGGGAGTACCCCCTCATTGAGACCTTCCCTACTGAACAACTTTTTTCCATCCTTGGAAAAGAACTTTGGTATGCTGACATTGTGAATTATCTTGCATGTGGTATAATTGACCCTGATTTGACCTTGCAGGAAAAAAAGAAATTCTTATCCACTGTTACGCATTACTTCTGGGACGATCTTTATTTGTTTAAAAGTTGTTCAAATCAAATAATAAGGAGATGTGTCCCCCAACTTTGAGCAGCAAGACATTTTAAGATATAGACATGAATCACTTTGTGGAGGACACTTTGTGGCAAGAAAATGGCACTTAAGGTATTGCAATCTGGATTCTATTGGTCGTCCTTATTTAAAGATGCTTTTATCTTTTGTGTAGGATGTGATCGATGCCAACAGACAGGGAATATTGGCAAGAGAGATGAGATGTCACTCACGACATTTATGTTGGTTGAGTTGTTCAACATGTAGGGCATCAACTTTATAGGTCCGTTTCTTAACTCTTTTGGTTATACTTATATACTTGTCATCGTTGATTATGTTTCCAAGTGGATTGAGGCGATTGCCACAAAGACTAATGATAGTAAGGTTATACTTAGTTTTATTAAAGACTTTATTTTTACCCATTATGGTACCCTTAGAACTATTATTAGTGATGGGGGGAGTCACTTTTGTCACAAGTCTTTTGCAGCATTGTTGAAGAAGTATGACATTAAACATAAGGTGGCAACTCCGTATCATCCTCAAACTTCAAGGCAAGTAGAAGTAAGTAATAGCAAATCAAAGCCATTTTGGAGAAAACAGTTTGCATATCAAGGAAAGATTGGATGGTGAAACTGAATGAAGCTCTATGGGCATATCGGACAGCTTTCAAGACTTCACTCGGGATGAGTCCCTATCAGTTAGTCTTTGGGAAAGCATGCCATCTACCAATGGAATTAGAGCGTAGGGTGTATTGGGCGATCAAGAGATTGAACCTTGACATGGACAAGATTGGACAGGAAAAGAAATTGGAACTAAATGAGTTGGATGAGCTTAAGAATGAAGCATATGAGAACGCTAAGATCTACAACGAAAGAACTAAGTTGTACCACGACAAAGTAATATGATGGAAAGAATTTCAATCAGGTATGAAAGTGTTACTTTATGAATCACGGTTGCGTCTTTTTCTAGGGAAGTTGAAATCAAAATGGATTGGGCCATTCAAAGTTCAAGAGGTGTACCCTTATGGCGCGGTGGAGATAGAAAACTTGAAGACGGGAAAGGAAAATTATGCTCCAAACAAGGAAGTGGAGTACTTTAATGATTCTGAAGGACGACTGAGCATCCGTTTAGCTGAAGACGATAAACAAGCGCTTTTCGGGAGGCAACCCGAATGTTTCTTTTCCTTTGTTTGTTTCGTTTTTTTTTTAATTTATTTATTTATTTTTATTTTCAGTTTACTATTTTAATTACATTAGGAGTGTGTTATTTTGTGTATTTTATTTTATGTGTTTGAATTTTTTGGAAATCTAACACTTAATTTAACTTTTTTAGAAAATTCACTTCACGCTTTGGTGTAACTTATTCAAGTCGGGGCACAATTGTGGCATCATACCTAACGATGACACAAACGCGTATTTAGGTTGTGGCTCAATTTCATGTGCCGCTGCTCAAATGCAGCGATTTTGTAATTCAAATCCGTAATACACTAGGGCACAAATTTTTTAGGCTGTGGCACGTTTATGTTGTTCTTCATTTTAGCATTGAAAATCAAATTACGTCGAGGCACAAAACTTTGCGTCGTGGCGCAATTCGCAGATTATAAAAAGACAGATCAATTCTCAGTTGCACTACAGCGCAATTCTTCACTTTTCTCTCAAATTTTCAATTGATCTTCCTTTTTTTTTTTTTTTTTTTTCCAAAAATCACTTCATTCATCACCTAAACACATCCTAAACACTTGATTGACATTGATTTTGTAGATTAAGGATCGATTTTGGCCTGGATTGATTTGGGCATTTTTTATTTTGGGGCAAAAACATCTCAATCCAAGGTTTTGATCGCCGATTCCGATTTGATTCTAGAAAGTTGAGTTGAGTTGATTGATTGCTTTGGATATTGTTTTGGGTGCGGATTGAGATTGATTTTATACTTTGTGATTGTCATGTAATTGGGCAAATTGATTCTGGTGTGATCCGGTGTATTGGGTGTTGTGTGATTGCTATGTAATTTGGCATTGGGCGAGATTGTTGGTGGAGTTGTGTTATTGTTTAATCTTTAGGAGTATCGGTATACTGATATGTTGTTATGGCATCAACTAAGAGGGATAGAGATTTGGCTAGTTCTAGTAGAGGTCCTGGAGGTTTTTCACAGGACACCCATGACCTTAGATTTCTGAGTTCAGTTATTGAGGATAGGTATAAGGACAATGCTATTAATGGTAGAGGATTTGTGGATGAATGAGACTTTGATTTTAAATGTCCTTATGAGGGACTTACTGACATTATTAGTGATTTGAGTTGGGAGGAATTTACAACCTAACCAAACGCAGCTATTGAGCCTCTCTTATAGAGTTTTACGCTGATGCCTTCGAGCATAGAAATGGAAGAATTAGGATTAGAGGGAAGGAGGTGAGATTTGATGTTGAGATGATTAACCAGATTTATGGGTTATCGACTATTTCTGAATAGGATGATGATTTCTCTAAATTCCTCAAAGACCCAAACTAAGATGAGGTACTACAATGTTTGACAGAGGGTCAGGGAGAGTGGATTCTTGGTCGGAACAATAGAAGAAAGGGTTTCAATGTGACTTCACTCACAAGTTGTAGGAGTATTTTGTATGTGCTAAGATCCATCCTTCAGGGCACCTTAGCCTAATGGACACTGAGAAAGCTCTCATGATGTATGCCATATCTCAATGGATGTGGATCAACATAAGGCAGATTATCCATTTTTAGATTTTGTATGCGGCCAGATCTTATAAATCCTATCTGTTTCCTAGCCTTATCACTGCCTTATGTGTATCTGCGGGAGTTGTTATTGGGGACGATGAAGTGAAGAGACCACCACTTCCACCGTTGACATTAAAGTACCTCCAGAAGATTACCAGTAGGGGTAAGAGAGCTGCAGCCCAAGCACAGCCGCGTAGACAGAGAGCCCTACGCCTGTTAACATCTTCCACCTAGCTTGTACATGGTCAGATAGCTGACTCAAGAGCAGAGATGAGAGAGTGGCAGACATGGGTCACAAGTCAGATGAAATATCAGGCTGAGTGCTTGTAGACGATACAGCAGATCCAGCAGTTTCAGTTATCTTAGTCAGGAATGGATCCGACACAGTTTGTGTTTCCTATCTACCTAGGGGGTTATAAGCCAAGGGCACCTGTTGTTGGTGTTGTAGGTGGTGATGGGGTGATGTTGACATGGATGGTGATGATATAGATGATGGTGATGGTGATGGTGATGGTGATGGTGATGGTGGTGGCCAGCAGTGAGAGAGTGGATGGATTTACTGATGGATATCATGCTTTTTATTTTATTTTCTGTACTTTTGTTTTTAGTTTATTTATGTGTGATTTTGCTTTTCGATTGTATAAACTTTAGTTACTTTATTATTGATTCGATGTTCTTTTCATTTCTGTTTTATTTTTATTTCCATAATCATTATGCAGATTAACAGACAACATGGATTCTATCTAAGACGCCATGTGTCCTTTTCTTTTGTGTTGGTAGATTTCATGTGATTACAGGATATGCATTCAGTGGTGTTACTTTTGGACTTTCTGATTTGTTACTCAAAGGGGGGTAACTCGTTTCTTTCCCTTTTACCTCTACGTTGTTTTGTTGCTACATTGGGAACAATGTAGGATTTTGGTTCAGGGTGGGAAAGCATGAAATTTTTGCATGCCTAAAAATTTTTGGTTTATGGAAGTTTGTGTTTCCTCGATAATGTCAAATGTCTGTGATATTGTTGACTGTAATGACATGTAGTATTTAGAAGAGGTGATTTTGACACTAATTTGAGAATTATCCTGAATGTTGATTTTTGCTTGAGTTCGAAACTCTCGGGTTTGTGGTTTAATAATAATAACAATAATAATAATAATAATAATATGTGTGTTAGGAATTGGTAGGATGTTTGTCGGTAGCATCGTTGAAAACCCTCACGAGA